TCGATCTGACAGAAGCCTGGAAATGAGTGCGTGAGGTGGTTATAAAAGGCTCCCTACCCCCCAAGAACAAGGTATGCTAACTTTTGCGCTATCTGGCTTATCTTGCCTTTGAAAGACTCTAACTTGAGCTTCAGAGCCCTTACGTCGGGTTCTCCCCGGAGCTTCTTCACCCCTTCCGTTTCAGGTCCCCTGCCACTCAGTTCAGAGGCAAGATCGTTGACAGCTAAGATCGGCCAGATTGTGCATCATCACTAGGTAATGGTTACATCACTTTTAATTAATTATTATATGTCTTAAACTATTAATTTGTTATTAATAGTAAACAAAAATATATAATCTTAATTTAAAATTAAACCGGTTGTAGGAAAAGGCATAAGGAGCATAATCCTAGCATACATATTATATCTAATTCATTGTTTTAATTTTTAAATTAACTATAATATTTTTATTTTTATAAATTACCAAATTTATAACAAAAAGTTATTTTTGGCATAAATTGTTGATGGATCCATGGGTTCCATAATCATTTATAAATCCATCTTATGGTTCTCCCCTATCATAAAAACCATTTAAAAGATATAAAATAAATTACTTTCATTCTTGGGGATATCTATAAATCAACTAATACAAGCAAAAACATCACAAATCTATAAAAAAAATCAATATATCTTTGCATCTCATACATCTAAATACATAAATCTACTAAAGCACGAGAGGTTAAATGGGAAAAAAAGGAGAGATTATTTTTTTACTGATTTAGGTGGTTTTTCATAACACTTATGACATTTGAACTTTTTAAATGTGCAACCCATTTGTATTTAGATCTGATGACAAACTTTGATCAAATAAAATACTTATCAAAAGGTAAGACAAGACGCATTTGCTTCAGACTTAAAAAGCAGAGATGCAAGTTCAGAGATAAAAAGTGGATTGAAAAGGTAAAAACCAGTAACAAAACCCCTTCCACCATCGTGCAACTGGCATGATGTTGTATCGATGTGAATTTATCGACCAATACACGTGCAATGCAGAACGATATGGGCAATATGGTTCAGCAGGGGTGGAATGATCTAAAAACATTTACAATTCACCTTTGCCACGTGGCCCACGTTTCGGCCAGTATAGGAATTAACATGATAGATGATACACCTTACATCGAACATATCAGATATTCTGAAATTTGATTGTGGGTGGGATTCACGAAGTTGAACCAGTGTACCCATCTTTGTAGCTAGTGAGCCTAACCCATGAAGAGAGCGCTAAACAACAACTCAAGAAGCAGTCATCAACGAGACAAAATGAACCAATGAGAATAGTTGTCTAACTGTTTTTGGGAATGTAGCTTTTATAAATTAAACATGTATTTTGGGTGTAGTGCCACTTTGGTCCTCAAACTTTAAAATGTGATAATTTAGTATCTGAACTTTCAAAATGTGTCAATCCAGTGGCATTTGAAAAGACACAAATAGCCTTTGAGTGTCATCTAATTTTCTTTATCAACCATCCACATGTTGATAAAAATGAACAGTCTCAAATCCTTCCCTCTTCTATTCAAGAAAGTTGGGGTTATATCTCAGTAGACATTCTGGTGACCTGAACTTTCTTAAACAGAAGGGACAAGAATTTGGGAGTGTTCATTTTTTGTCACTATTTAGATGATTGATAAAGAGAATTAGATGACACTAGAAGAATATTTGTGTCTTTTCAAATGACACTTAACGACTGGTTAATGGTAGGTATTAGATTGGCACGTTTTGAAAGTTTAGGTACTAAATTATTGCATTTTTAAGTTCAAAGACCAAAGTGACATTAGACCCAAAGTACAAGTTATTAATCTGGAATTTTCCCTAAATTATAATATAATATCCTTCTTCATAAAAAAAATATTTATATATAATACAAACTGTTATGGACGCATTCCTCGGAAAAACGTACCATCGCCGCCGGCAGCAACAGAAACCTGACCCACCGCCACATTAGATTAGATGATCTTGCTTGTTCTTATCTTATTCTATTGCTCTTATCTTATCTTGTTAGTAAGTTATTAGATTAGGATTAGTTTATCTTATTATCATATTATGATTAGTTTATCTTGCTATCAGATTAGGATTAGTTTATCTTGATATCATATTAGGATTAGTTTATCTTATTATCAGATTAGGATTACTTTATCTTGTTATCAGATTAGGATTAGTTTATCTTATTATCAGATTAGGATTAGCTTATCTTATCCTTAGCAAGATAGAATTGGAAGTCTCCCTATTCAACAAGAAGGCTCCCTAAGATTAGGACTCTTGTAATCTCCTATTTAAGGAGACACCGTTACTGAATGAGGATATCAAATATTCAGTCAAGAAAGAGAATAAATGAGAGTTAGGTGATCTCTTGAACAAATCACCATTAGGGCGCCTAGATAGCTTCATCAAGAGCAGGGAGGAACAAGAGAAAACAGAGGGTTTCCCCCGTGGACCGACCCGTGACGAGATCCTATTTGCGGGCCCATAACATTTTGGTATCAGAGTCGGTCGTCATGGGAGATCTGCAGCAGCTATCATCCAGGGTCCACGAACTGGAGCATAGGCTTGTAGAAACCAGCAGGGAGGTTCGTGAGGTTAAAGATGATGTCCGGGAGCTGCGGCGCTTGCTGGAATCGTATTTCTCTAATAGGGAGAGGAATCCAGAAGGGGCTGTAACCACAAATAGCCTCCGACCAAACTTGACGGAGCCGTCCGGCGAACAACAGTAGTAGCAACAGACTCTTCTTGGTCCACAGCAGCAGCAACACCCTCTGCCACAACAGCCAGACAACCAACAACAGCAACAACTACAGCAGCAGAAGCAACAACATGATCAACAACAGCAACAACAGCTTCTCTGAGCAGCTATTACTAGTCCTAGTATAGTTGCCCCGAAACTGGCCCCTAAGTCCTATGGGCCCTTCAAGGTTCTACAACAGATTGGCAGTGTGGCCTACTAGCTGGAACTGCTAGAGACCAGTCAGATTCATGATGTCTTCCACATCGCCTTGTTGAAACCATTTACGGGTGTTCCTCCGGACCAAGTCCCCTCCCTACCACCCCTGCAAGATGGCAAACTGAACCCCAACCTAAAGTTGCCATCCGCTCTCGTTTCAATCAAGGAGTTCTTGAAGTATTGACGAAATGGTGTAGCTTACCATCGGTCGAAGCCACATGGGTCCCATTGACAGAGTTCCAAGCCACATATCCGGAGTTCGAGCTTGAGGACAAGCTCGTAGTCCAAGAGGGGAGTAATGTTATTGACGCATTCCTCGGAAAAACATACCATCGCCGCCGGCAGCAACAAAAACCTGACCCACCGCCACATTAGATTAGATCATCTTGCTTGTTCTTATCTTATTCTATTACTCTTATCTTATCTTGTTAGTAAGTTATCAGATTATAATTAGTTTATCTTATTATCGTACTAGGATTAGTTTATCTTATTATCAAATTAGGATTAGTTTATCTTGTTATCATATTAAGATTAGCTTATCTTATTATCAGATTAGGATTAGTTTATCTTATCCTTAGCAAGATAAAATTGAAAGTCTCCCTATTCACCAAGAAGACTCCCTAAGATTAGGACTCTTATAATCTCCTATTTAAGGAAACACCATTACTGAATGAGGATATCGAATATTCAATCAAAAAAGAGAATAAAGGAGAGTTAAGTGATCTCTTGAACAAATCACCATTAAGGCGCCTAGATAGCTTCATCAAGAACAGGGAGGAACAAGAGAAAACAGAGGATTTCCCCCGTGGACCGACCCGTGACGAGATTCTATTTGCGGGCCCATAACATTTAACACAAACTATAAGAGAAAACTCTGCCTTCATTCGGAATGCAGATGGTAAGGAAAAATTTCAGAAGCCATGACAATCAATACTTTTTTGATCCATGACATTGTGTACTTTTTGGAACTTCACCCGTATAAATTACAAGGATAAACACATAAAACCAAAAAAGTTATTAAAGGAACTAACTAGTACTTCTACAACAATGGGAGTATTTGCAACTCTGAAGGCCGACCAAACCCAACACTTTCAGGGTATTTTCTGTCATCATGAAGAATGAGGACCTTCAGTGTGCCAGATTCCCTCAACCAGGCAGCTACGACGGCCCCTGAAGATATAAAGCGGCCAAGATTGCACTTGGCAACATGGAAGGGGGCACCGATTCCAGCAAGTAGTGCCTGAATAACTCGTCTTAGAGTGCCATCACCAGCTACTTTACTGTGCTTGCCCCACCCTGTCAAAATGCTGTAGACAGGCACAGCGTGATTTAATGCCAGATGCTAATAGTAAAATATACAAACTGAATGGAAACCCATTATAAGGTTTCACATGTTTCTGCTTAAGTAGTCAAGAGTCGGCATATACCTTACTAACTTTGGCAATTCACGGCCTTGAAAAACAATAGAACGTATATTGAGGAGCCATGCATGCACCATTGCTTGAGCAGCTCCAGATGACATCAAATGCAAATCCAAGCATGAATCACACCATGCATTCTCCCATACATGTCGACGTTTTCCTTCAAGCACAACCAATTGGGCTCCTCGCCTCTACATGAAAGATAAAATGGGGGATCTCTCAGCATTTCCCATCAATACAGTAGGCGACATGCATGTGCCTATCTAGAAGTATCAAGTCCTCGTCTGAAAATCAATGCTCAGGGCCTCTAACCTCCTTGAAATTAGCACTTAGATAAGCACCTTCTACTATCTTATGACAACCACTTGACTGGAAATTGAAATATGCCACGGTATAGAAAGTGAAAAAATACATTAAGACTGCCTGCTAAGAATTTAGCATGCTTAATGGTCAATATTTTACACTCGTTATGAAACAGGTCCATCGCTAAAAATTGTTCATATTCACATAAAATAATTTGCCTTTACTTTCTCCTACTAAATCCTAGTACTTCATCCAATGATGTTGATGCAAATAATAAGATAAACCAGAGGTGCAGTCCATAAGCATAGAGTGTCGTTATTTTCAATGGCTGGATGGCTGAACCAGAAATCCATCAATCCATCTGAGAAAGTCTGCCATTAGCAGATAAGACTGTCTGCTTTTGCAGTTAAACAGCTTTCAGTGTCCATTTTGTCCAGAATTTCCCTATTTAATCTGGCAGCATTTTTACAGACATGATTTCACAAGAAAAAACATACACCGGCAAGAGCATCAATTCCTTTTACCAAAAGCATGCTATTGTGTTTCTCTGTGCTTTGTGTGGAAAGAAAAATGTTCATAATCCAAGGTAGAGGTGTTGCTCTGTGAATTATTTTGTTTTGGTAGAACAAGGATAAAATTTTAATTACTGAATCCTGTCTGTACTGTAGGTGTTGTCTTAACACCTGATTAGGATGTACTCTTTCTTTTTAAAGAAAATTTTCTATTTACTTATCAAAAAAAATAATTAATTACTTAAGTGATTCAAAGTTTGGACTTTTGATGGTTAAAAGCAGAAGTTTCAAGATAAAAGTCAATTGTTTTCCTTTAGTTTTTCCAGTTCGACCAGTTACTACCAAGTTGTTTCGGTAACAACAACACAACTTAGCAAGCTTTTGCCTTGCCTTATCCTGCAAACTTGAAATAGAATGACAGCAGCACAGTTTAAAAGAATGCCCAATGGTGAAAGCAAAATGAGAGAATTTACCAAAACCCTTGCAAAATGCTGTTAGAGCAAAACTCCAAAGAAGAAAGGAATTGGCTTTGTCTAAAATCTAAATGATGGTTAGAATACACTATTTCACTGCTCTAGGATGTTCTAATGTCTGATTTCTTTGAACATATCCAGTTCAAAGCACAAGTGTCATATCAATTCCACCAACATCATAATGTGAATCTCCTAAAGCATACAAACAGATAGAAAGCTTACTGTTAAACTGGAAAACTGCAATTCTTTGTGAGAATTGTTTTTTAAAATACATATTACCAAAAATTTGGTGAATATTTTTTTTGAGGAATAAAAGAAAAAAAAATATTGATAAAATAAAAAAGCAGATTACAGCACTGATAAGGGGGTGTTAAGATAACACCCGAACCCCACTACCAACAACAGCAAGGCTTACAATGACACAAGACTAACCAAAAGAAAGACTGAACCCCCCCCCCCCATACAGCAAGGCTTACAAAGACACAAAACTCAAAAAGAAAAACTGAGACCCCGCCCAATACAGCAAGGCTTTCAAAGACACAAAACTAACAAAAAGAAAGACTGAGACCTCTCCCCCCCTCATACATTGGCTAGTCATCAGGATCAAACGACTCATCCTGCCCATCATCTTCCTCATCCCAAACTTTTTCTTCTTTCCATTGCAACATCTTCTTCAATTTCTCTTCCCTTTTACTCATTTCAAAATTTTCGAAAGCTTTTCTAGCGAACTCTTCGCCTCCCCAAAAGAATAGCCCTAAACTCTTGCCAATTCTAATCTCCCTGTCCACCAAGGTCTTAATCTCCACTTTCTCCCCCTCCTTGTCAGCTTGTTGAGACAAAGTAAGACTACTCTCACCAGCTTGACCTCCAAAGTAAGACTACTTTGGTGAATATCCATGTCAAGCTGTCAGAAACATATTGATTTTGACAAGAACACTGGTTATCAGGTAGACTGGAAATTAAAGGAAAACTAGAAATTAGAAATTAAAGGCATCTTTGTAACTTGTAGAAGAAAAGGGAAAAAAGAAAAATAAAGACATCTGAAAGACTTATCACAACAGAGCCCCTTTCATAGCAACAGTCAGTGAAAAAGAAATGACTCAACTAACCACACAACAAACAAGAACCAATCAATCAACCTACAAATGTAGTACTTTAATTCCTTGTGATGTATATTAAGAGATGCAGCAAGCATGTTAGAAGTATAGGTTACCTGACCAAAGTGCCATAGCATGTCAGTTAGAGCATTATAAAAAGCAGATGCAGTTGAAGAGTCCATGCTTTTCACTTCATCAAACAATGATTGAGCCTGAAGCCATATTTTTTCACTACAGCCCATGAGAAGTCCATGTGCAACACCATACACCTGATTATCAAACAACCGGAGTTCTTCCAATAACATTGAAGCATCTTCAAATGAATTGCAGCGGCTGTAACGAGAGATAAAATTACATTTATAAATTTATGTGCATTAAAAAAGTGTATATGCAGCTAGTATAACTTCAGTGACTGGGATTCCCAGCGAGTACCAACAGACAGCCCTTGGGCTGGACAACCACAGGCCATGCCAACACTATCCTAAGCGCCAGCTACAATGATCTTATTTATTTATTTATTTTTATTTTTTTGCTTGATAAAGCCTCCTTTTTATGCTATAGTAAAACTCAAATAGTTTTCTCATATAATATTATGTTAATCGTTTTATTTGGACCCCCGGTAGCTGGGACCAACATTGGGTGATTGCCCATTGGCCCTTTTGTTTTATTTGGACCAATAGAAACAAGAACATCATGTCACATTAAGTAGCAACAGTATTTGTAGAAGTAGGCCTTATCCATCTTATATTTTGTTGGCACAAGGTGGCCATTCCATTCATAAAAAAAAAGTGGCCATTCTCAGACTCAAAATCACATTACCACACTTGTCATCCCAAAATTTTACCATTAAACCAAGCAATGGCACCTATCAAAAGTTGTCGATGATATACAAGGCATCAACAGCTAAACAGACAATAGACACCCAGTTGTCCAAAGGAAAAGGAATAGTAATATTGTTGAATATGATGGTGTTATGATTCTTATCACATGGAATTGGTAATATGGTACAGTCTTAGCACATGGAACTGGGATATCCATCAATGGGCAACACGTCATAAAAAAATGAGCCCAAAAGTGGGGTTTTTTTTTCTAAGTGCAACTTGCATGTGATACAACTAATCCAGTAAAATTAGAATTTCTAAAATGATAAGAATCCTCAAGCACAAGCAATGCAAAAGATTGTAAAATCAAGTCTACCTGCAAGCATTTAAAATGGCCGAGAAAGTGACAACATTTGGTTTTATTTTCAGTTGATGCATCTTCTGAAAAATTCCCAAAATGCACAAAATTTCCTGAGATTTTCTCTTTGTATCTTCCTTTGAATACCGCACCTTTTCATCAGCCAGCTGCCCAAAAACTCTCATCACCTGGTTATTCTCTTCTTTGTCTCCCACCTTACACTCAACAGCTTCCTCAAGATCCAAATGCATTAAAGATTCGGGCTGTAATTCATTCACACCATCATCAGCATCTTCTTGAAATTGTCCAGTTGCTGACCGACCAAAGGCATCAATTATTGAATTGTAAGTAACAACATTAGGCTGGATCCCTCCTCTTGTCATCTCGTCAAGCAAGCCAACAGCAGATTCCACCAGTCCATTCTTGCATAAGGTATCAATTAATGCACTGTACAAAACAACGTCAGCCTTCAATTTTCCCTGCTTAAACTCTCTAAAAATATCCATTGCATCTTTATGCATACCCCCTTTTGAGTATGCATCGATCAAGGTAGAGTAAGTCAATACATTAGGAGTAACGTTTTCTGCTTTCATCTCTTCAAATACTTCTTTAACTTTGTCATACTTCCCTTGCTTCCCATACCCACCCAAGAGAGCATTGTAAGTGACAGCATCTTTTTTGATCCCCGAACCTTCCATCTCCCTGCAGATGCCCAAAGCTTCCTCAAAGCGCCCAAGCTTCGCATAAATTGAGAGCAAGGTGTTATATGAAACCCTATCCAAACCAATACCCACAAACTTCATCTCATTAAACAGATTCAATGCCTCTTCTAATTTACCAGCCTTCGCATACCCATCAATCATGGTACTATAAGACACTACATTGGGACACACATTCTTCTCAGACATCTCGGACATAATCTCAAAAGCCAGATCCATCTTCCCACCTTTACAAACTGCATCTAAAAGTGTATTATAGGTAAAAATGTCCCTGTCAATGCCTCTGTAAACCATCTCATTGAACAAATTCCGCGCTTCCTCCCACAACCCACCACGACTACAAACAGCAAGGAGGGAATTGAAAGTGATACGATCGGGTTGCACTCCATTCCTTACCATCTCATCAAATAACTCCACCGTCCGACTAAAGTCGACACCCCCTTTCCCACACGCATCGATAACTGCGTTATAAGTGACCAAGTTGGGCTTCAACCCCGAAGCTTTCATCGACTCAAAGACCTCTATGGCCTGCTGACAAAACCCATTCCGCCCATAAGCACTAATCAATGCCGAAAATGCATAAACCGTATTGCCGTATCCCTCGGTGTTGGCAGTCTCGAACACACTTTTTGCAAGATCAACCCGTCCCAACCTACCAAGAGTGCTAATCATCGCACTCGCCAATTTCCCCTGCTCGTTCCGCTTGTGCTCTCTCTGAACCGCGAATTCGAAGCACCGAACCGCCTTGGAGCACTCCCCGCGATTCCCGAGCTCCCGAAGCAGGAAGGTGTAGTCGTCCGAACCGGAGAGCTTAGTCTCAAAGCTTCGAAGAACAGTCTCTAGGGTTTGCTCGTCTCCGCCGAAGCGAATTGCCCGTTCCAGAACTTCCTCCGCGACGGAGGTGTGTCTGCTGCCCGTGGCCGCTTTCTGGCGGCCGAAATACATCTTGGAGACGAACCGAGTTGACCTCCGGCCACGGAAATCGGCACCAAGCTCGGTCTTCGAAGAGGGAAGAGGGGAGAGGGAAGAGAAATTAGGGCTTCGAGAGAGAGGAGCATTACCTGGCTTGGCGGCATTTCGCGTAGCAGGCGAAGACGAGCCAAGGGAGAAGTTGTGAGAGCTCCTCCAATGGTGGTTTGGGTGTTGATTTTGCAGGTGATTTTGGGGATAATGGTCGTTTTGGTAGGATTTGGTTGAAGTGATGGAGCAGTGCGGAGGTGCGGAGGAGGCCATGACCCATAAAACAGAGATATAGCGGAGATTTTCAGGAGCCCGAATGGGAATTGGGAAAAAGGGTCGTTATCGGAACATTTTTCAATCAACCTTTTCCGTAGGCAGAACAAATAGAGGCTTTCGGTTTTGGATATTGATTTTCTTGATTATACGATTCTAGCTTCTCTACACCTAGAATTGGAACTTCGCTTAAGAGTATTCGAGGTTGTGTATAGCGTGCGAAAAAGTGTAGCATGCCTCCAACCGCCCATGGCGGCAAAGGCTGATCGCGGTTTCGCACCTACTAGAACTGAGGGCCCGTTTTGGAGGGCTTCAACGTTTTTCTTGAGGACTTGAGCTGTATTGACTTGAGTGCTCGTTTGGAGGGCTTCACGCAGTGAATTCTGAGAGTGAGAAACCCTGAACACGGTGATAAAGCCGTATTTGGTAAAAATTCAAAAAGTTGGAAATATAGACTTACAAAAACAGCAAAAATGGAAATCACATCTTACAAACGTCAAATTCGAATCCGCTAATAATTTCGACTATCGAATATGATCAGGTCCAATTTAATTTTTGAATATTTTAGAAAAATATAACAGCTTAAAGAAAAACAAAAATACAAATATTTTTCTTCAACTATTTTCATCATATATATATATATATATATATATATATATACATTATGTTTTTATAAAAAAATAACATAAAAATTATAAAATGTAATACAAATATATTTATAAATAAACAAATAACATATATGTGTGTGAGACTAGATCAGATCTTTTCGAATCGGATAGAAGTGATTCGAATCCGATCCGATTTTTCAATCAGACTCTATTATCCGATCCAATCCAAAATTCAACTGGATTATATGCAAATCTGACAAAAATGTGATCAGATTTTCGATTGGTTCGGATCATAATTCAATCCATTTGCACCCCGTAAATGAACTTTCCAATAAAGCTATTGCAGCTAATTTCTCCAAATCTGATTTAAATAAGCTACTAAAAATAGCTTGACTCAAAATTGCTTTCTCAACTCATAAACTTCTATTTTTGGATTTTCCATAATTTCACCATATATGGCTCAAGTGTTTTTTATATATGAAGCCTACCTAGTAATGCCATAAGCCACCACTGCCTGAAAAGCCCTCCCAAATGGATACTAATTAATTTGATTTTTTCTTTGTAATATTAATTTGAATCTTTATGACAGCCACCGAACTCACCGAACTGTATGAAGTGAATCATAATAATGGCTTAAAAATAAAGTGAGAACCAAATCTTCTGGTTGGTTGGAAATCGATTATAATTAATAGAATCAATATGCGTTGGAATTAGGTTACAACAATGAGGGTGTTTGATTTCGTTTACATTTATAGAATTAACATTTTGTATTTGTGTAGTTGTAAAATCGAGAAAAGCAATTAATAAGAGTTTTTATGATACATAAGCACCATATCAACAATGTGTAGATAAACGCCTACCTATTTTAAAAAGCTAAAGTTTCCTTACAAACATTGATACATAAGAATGCGCATAATGAGGTCTTTACTAATGAAATGTCTATATGCCAACATTTATTCAATAAACATAAACGAAACCAAACACATACAATGTTATAACATTGAGACCGGACATAAATCAACTGGGTCACGGTTTTACTCATCAATCAGTTCAGACGGTTAGCCCCATTCAAACCGTTATTCAAAATTGTCCTCCTTCATTGGCATCTCATTTGGATTTATCCCGCTAATCTCAATATTCCAACTGTAATCTAACCCCAACTCCAACAACATTTAAGCCCTTAAACCCTAAAGTCTTGTAACCTTTTTTTTTGGATAAAAAAAGTCTTGTAACTTGAAAAGCTGAAAATTGGCTGGGACATCTTCTTGCACGCAAATCAGCTTAGATTTGTGTGTCTTTTTGTGTCTTCGGCAAATTGATTAAAATCTGGTTGTTTTTTTTTTAATCATCTAAAACCGTGAAAACCTTGACCATATGGATTTTTTTTGGGAATTTATTCTCATTATTTAAATTAAAAATTGAGTCTTATTATGACTTTTTAATTACCATGAGCCAAATATATATACCTGATCAAATTAATCATTTCATGGCAAATCAAAACCATTCATTTTGAAGTCCACCCTATAAATATGTCATTCGTAAAGTTTAGATTCAATCAAAAGGCTGGTATATAAAACAAAAAATTGATGTTTATGCCTTCAAAAAATTTAATGGATGGAAACAAGAGCAATTTCAGAAGGATATATATTTGGTGCCTAATCTTCCACGCCAACAATTTTAATATGCTAGATGTTCATATCATTTCGGTGACTTTGGTCCATTCAATTTGAAATAAGTTAAATAGGGTTTGGTCACCAATATGACATGAATTTCAACAATGGGAAATGAGTAGGGTAGCCCTCCTTTTGGTGACATTAATATCACTCTACCGTCTCCCTTGTTTTTTTTTTTTCAATTACAAGTTATTGTTTGTAAAATAGTAAGATGTATAAAGCTGAATGGCGTGCATTACAACCAAAATAAAACGAAATAAATGCTGAGCATAGAAATGTTGTTTTTTCTTCCCATTTGAAGATTAAAAACAAATAATAAATAGGAGTGAATTTGCACTTCTAATTCTTCCTCTATAGTTAGGGTCTGTTTGTTTGCAATTGGAATTGGAATCAGAATCGTAAATTCACTATTTTGAGAATCGGACTGGACCGGATGGTTGAACCATTTGACCTAGGAATCAGTCAACCTTCTAGGTCCAGTTTTATGCTAGACCACTTTTGTGAAAAAAAAAATGTTGAAATGGCCAAAAAACCACTAAACTGTTTGAACTGGGCAGCAATTTGGGGTTTTTTAATAAAAATTTATTTAGGTCCCATTTGGTGTGTCTTTTCATGTGGGTTGTCAGCTTTTTAAAAGGCTGGCAGTCCATGTTTTTGTCTTTTCCTATTTGGTTGGAAAAATATCTAGTCGCCAAAAGACGTTGCATTGGAAAGACGTATGAACCCATTTTAGGTGATTATCGAGAAACTTCAAATGGAGTTTTTATGTTTTTTTCAACTTGTCTTCACATGGAAATACGCATGGAAAGACATGCCTTAACCGAAACGGTCTTCAAGCTGCCAAGATCTTAATGCAAAAGTCGCTACTATTTTTTTTAAGATCATTAGTGGAAAAATAAAAGGAGATTTAGATGGAGGGATTGAGGCGCTATCAAATCTGTGTGTGTGTGTGTGTGTGTGTGTGTGACAGAGAGAGAGAGAGAGAGAGAGAAAGAAACAATATGAGATCCGAGATTAGAGAAATAATCATTGTCGTCGCCATCATCATCACTGGTGAATGTTGTCGTCTCCACCCCCTACTCTTCATTATTCTTCCTTCCCTCCTTCTTTCTTTTTTTTCTTTTTTTTCCTTTTTTCGTGTTTTCATGAGCCAACAACCACTATCTCTCTTCTCATAAAAGAAGAGAGAACATAGCTATATACATCTACCCTAATATTCCAATCCAAGGCTTGAACTGTTTGACCTAATTAGTTGGATCATTGACTTGGAAAAACCGATGATCAAAATGATTCAGTTTCCAGGTAGGTTTTTAAAACCTTGGGTCTATTCCTCCCACTCATGTGGTTCAAGTTGGAATCAAAGTTGGCCAATGAGATTTCAATTACCCCCAAGCAGAATGCACCATTTCGATTATGAGTTCAGACCCATACTTATACAACCAAACAAACTCTTAGATTTTTTATCAAGAACATTTCTTTTATAATTATAAGGGAAAATTCCACTTTAATACCCAAACTTTTTGAATGTGTCCCTGTAGGACCTAAACTTTAAAAAAGTGTCAAGTTGGTCCCTGTCGTTCACCGACTGTCAATTATCTATTGAAAATGTCAAAATTACCCTTCAAAAGAAGACAATGTTCATTGTCTTATACCTTGAGACTGAACTAGTTGAGGTATTTGAGATTCTAGACTAATGAAGTCATTGCCTTCTACCTTTAGATTTGAAACACACTATTGTCTAGTTATTTCTTTGCTTTTAGCTATTGTTTCCCTCTATTATATTTCATGTTTTTTCTCTTTTTTTCTTTGAAAATAACCAGTTAAGTCTCAAGGTAGAAGACAATGAACAGCGTCTTCTTTTGAATGGTAGTTTTGACAATTTCAATAGATAATTGATGGCCAGTTAATGACAGAGATCAAATTGACACTTTCTGACTGCAGTGACACGTTTGAAAGTCTAGGTACTAACTTGACACTACCCCCAAAGTTCAGGATACTAAAGTGGAATTTTCCCTAATTTTAAATTTAAAGAATGATTATGATACCTTAGCTAAACCTTGCAAGTAGTAACTTCTCCTTTTTCTTTAAAAAATGAAAATTTCCAGGATTTGTTTGGTTCATACTTTGAATCATAATAAGAGTGATCTATTCTCATAATCTGTTTGGTTCAAACAAAATTTGAAATCAACTAGAATGAGATTTCATTCTCAAGGGAGGAGTATGAGGAAATGGTCATTCCCTTGAATTGGTGAATGTCATTCCACTAGAAATGGGAATGAAATTATGATTCTGCCCAATGAAACAATAGGGTGTATTGGTAAACACACACATCCAAATGGCCCATTCCAATTCCTGCCGTTTGGTTGAGTGGGATAGGAATCCCGTCCCCATTTTAGGCATAACAGGTATGGGGGAATGGCCATTCCAGTCCATTTATTTAATTAATTATTTGTTTAAGACCAAAAACACCCCATTCGATTCCAACCCCTAATCAACCAAAGTTCGAAGGTTGTGTGAAGAACTCCTTTGACCTCCATGCTAGCCGTTGCTACTACCAACCCTATCTCTAGCGAGGCAAGACTGTCATTGACCATCCTTCATCCCCTCCTTCTTCCAAATCCATCACCGTTGCCGCCAATCCATCTCCAGCAAGGTAAGGCTATTGTCAACCATCCTTCATCCCTCCTCTTCCCCCTTCTTCTTCTTCTTCCAAATCGGCTGCTGCCACGCCAATCTCATCTCTAGTGAGGTAAAACTGTCACCAACCATCCTTCTTCCTCTCGTCCTCATCCTCCTTATTCCAAATCAACCGCCCTTCTTCTTTCTACCATCTTCCTCCTCCTTCTATGTCTTCTTTTTTTATTCAAAATGATTGTTTTATAAATCTGCAAATCCACTAAATTTTGATTGATTTCTAGTTAAATCAAACAATAACAATCAGAATCTGATTCCAATTTCTGACTGAACCAAACAGACGCTAGAATATATGATTTTGATTCTGATTCTGATTCCCTATGTTGTCTGCAAACCAAACGGACCATTCCGATTCCGATTTCACATACCCTTGTTCCCACGAACCAGATGGGCATTCGGTTACCTTGGACCCAAACGACCCAATGTGCACGGAAATCAGACCATGGAAGGAGTATATATACATGCAAATATGTAGAGCGCAAAATCAAGTATTTTGTACCGTAAATATTTATATTTGTACTCCTTCCAAACCGAGCCGTTGGAAAAATGATGACGGATGAAATCGCGGTTATTTTCGGTAGAAGTATCTCCGGGGTCGTGAGCCGTCAGTTTGTCAGTTTGTGAGGAGAGTGGAGAGCGAGCGATCAACTACAGCCAGACAAAATTTGCTGTTTGGCTCTATTTAGATGCTTTCCGTGCATTCTTTCTCTCTATTTAATCACCACTCATCTTCACCCAAATAGCATCCAAAAGTAGAGCTTTCAATCACTGGTTCACTACCCCAACTCGGGAACGTTCATCAATAGGATTTTGAATCTTCACCGTTGCTTTTTCTTGATAAGCAAATAGCTCGATTGACACGATCATCATCGTCAACCTACGTGCCAACATCGACGGCTCTGATCGATGTTTGGATAATCAACTCATTAGAAAACCTCTTTTCATCCACAGATACAGAGTACAGAGAGAGAGAGAGAGAGAGAGAGTGAGACACCTTGATGCATCCGCCTCCGCCGGTTGGCTGAAAACAGATTTCTCGGAGCCTCAGTCACCATGCCCGATAAACCAATTCGGCCTTCCCGAGCTCTTCGTTGAAGTCTAAACCCTAATTTGTTTTTCCCTGAAGTGAAACTAGTTGTGTATCTTTATCCACTGGAAGTCTGCATGAGTAGGCAGGAACAGAAGAGGTCCATTGAGCCGAACTACTTGAAGCAGCCATGGGGTTGGTTATCCTTTCTAATTCACCGTCTTCGCCTCTCCTCGCTATTTCCATTCGCCGAGCTTCTTCTCCGAGGTCGATTTCTCGGATTCGCCTTCGCATCGCTTCTCGCCATTGGCTGAATAAGTCTGCTGCTTCTCTCAGGTAGTGGACTGCTCTGCTCTTCCATCTAGCCTTTTGATTTCTTATTCTTTTTAATCTTCTGAGCTATTGTATTGAAATATAGTGGTTAACCACGTGAGAGGAGAAAAGCGAAAAATCAAAGAAGGGAATACCTACCTAGTATGTCTCTTTTGGGTTCAATTGATTGATTTATATTACGTTTGAACCTTAAACCGTTCGTGTTGGATTATTTGCAACAAGAAGCTAAATTATATCACATGTAGAAAAATAAGCTAAATTATATTATTATAAATGATAAATCCACTAAGCATCAATTAAACAAAAAATTTTGATTGCGATAGGCGATTTGGTCCGATAGTTTTACTTGATTCTTTTCTAAACTTCCGTTACTTATCCTAAAAAAGGTTGAACAAAGAGTTACAGGACTTCTAGTTAACTTGCTTGACTTTAAAATTCATAGAAGTTCATTAGAGCGTTTAAGTTGTATATTCCCACTTTTTACTCAACGAATCAATTGTACCATTGGCGGCTCTTAATCTAAGCAATAGAAAAATGAAAGTAACAATAAAAAGGCAACTACGCAAAGATGGTCCAGGCACCAAGCTATATGGGGCAGTGTTACATGGATGTTGGACACTGGAATCAGAGCTCGTGTGCCCACTTGACAAGGCTGAGGAATAGACCGGTAGACATGTCTATAGAAAAGTATAAACTTTTAAAATAATCTACATTTGGTTGATTTTTAACAATATAGACCATTAGAAAAAAGCTATAAAAGATCATTTTTTCTATTTAAATAACATTTTATAGGAGAAATAACACCCATCTTGTAGATTAGCTGTTCATTTGAGTTGAATAAGCAAGGCGAAAAAAATGTCACATAGAAATGTCCTTCAAGAATCCATGAAATGTTGGAGTCCAACCAGTGTGGCACAGGCACTTCTTCCATTGAGGAGAGTCCATACAACATCGATTTTGGGTGATTCAGTGGATATGGATGTAGCCTATGCCCTTTTTTTCCCACAAACACCTATTAAACAAACTCAAACCTGCTTTCTGACACATGTTGGCCTGAGATTTTACCATTGCCACAGGGGACTCTCAGGGAAAGCTTTTTTTTGGGCTGTATTGTAAGATTTGAGATTTGTATGGAGTCAACATTCATGCTATGAGTGGTTCACACTTTTGTATTTAACTGTTATTTTAATGAGAGTTACTGTTTCCAATAAAAAAAACCATTTCCTCAACTCTCAAGCAATGGCCTCTGAGATGTAACGATTTGAGGATGTTAAGAACAACTGGCATTTGAAGCACCTTTTTCAGTATGTCACTGATGGTATGACTTTAAATATACTTCTATTTGTTAATTAAAACTTCTAACAGTTATTGTTTGTTCTTTTTAAACTTTGATCCAGGCAAGGAAATTTCATTTCAAGGTGTTCGTTCACAAACACTGATATACATTTCAATAATGTTACCACAGAAGAAGAGATCCCAGATGACTTGTCATCTATTCCATCTGGTTGCTCAGTTCCACTTGTTCATATCCAATCAGAGATTCTTGGAACTGAATCTTTCAATTTACTAGCCGAAGATTCCTACATGGATAGCCTGTTGACAACATTGCCAGTATGGCTTAACATTCAACCAAAGTGTTTTGACATCATGGTCATGACTTGTGTACTCTACTTTTCCATTTTATTTGCTATTTGGATTCTCAGTTTTCCATCATTCATCTTTCAGGTCCTATCGGAGGATGAGCAGAATGCTCTAGCAGCCACCCCAGCTCATCCAGCAGGATTGTATGGTAGGATTTTTTTTTTTCTATTTCCTTGAAACTATGGATAATATCATGACTCTATTAAATGCGTCAGGGAATTGACCCATGTTTATAAACTTTACATTTTTTATTACGAGATTGAAAAATTACTCTGCTTGATTTAATAAACTGAAACCAAATGATACAGGCAGGAGAACATGTATAGAATTGTTCCTGATGAAATTTGCATCTATATCCTTCTGTAGATGTTGGTGCACAAATGAGATGCTCAAGACCAATTTTCACTGGGATTCCTACCTGGATCACTTAGTTCAACCTAACTATTATGCCAGATAGAAGAGAGATCTTCATCTGTGTGTGTTTTAGGTTTCCAATATTGCCCTTGTATTTTTTTTTTTAACTTTTTTCTTGCATAGTTCATACCCAACAATATGTCAGTCCATTTTAAAGTTTACTTTGCTAGAGGGGAGTATCTGTTGGGATGAGGAACTGAAACCTTATTCTAATAGGTGCAACACAAACTATTTGCTAAAACATTCCTAATAGAAGTCTCTATTTTTACTCTTAGTACTGTGTACATTCTGGTCTTATACAAAATTGCTGTTTGATAATGGCATAAGTGGCTGAACTGATCGATTTATTGCTTTGTCTTTTTTTTTGATAAATTTTATTTCTTTGTTGCTTTGTCTTTTAGTGGGTAAAATATTTAAATAATAAAATATTCAAAGGTATAGCAGTCAACTCAACTTTGGCTTTAGGAATTAAGGAATTTATAAAGGTGCAGCTCAATGCCTTATCCCAACTATATGTTGATTCCAACAATATTTCATGTTGGTACCCATGGAAATGGAAATCATCATCATCATCATCATCGATGCCTTATCCCAACTATATGTTGATTCCAACAATATTTCATGTTGGTACCCATGGAAATGGAAATCATCATCATCATCATCATCGATGCCTTATCCCAACTATATGGGGTTGGCTACATGAATCCTGTTTCGCCAATTTGTTCTATTTAAAGCCATATCCAATGTTAAACTATTAGTGCTTAAATCATTTCTTACTACTACTACCCATGTCCTTTTTGGTCTACCCTAAGCTCTTCTAGCCCCTTCAATGTGTAACAAAGCACTTCTAACTGGCGTAGTTGGTGGTCTTTTATGCACGTGCCCAAACCATCTTAATCTACTTTCTCTCATTTTATCACTTGTTGGAGCTACTCCTAGGTTCATATTGGCTAACTTCATTCCTAATCCTATCATTTCTAGTTTTTCCAATCATCCATCTTAGCATTCAAATTTCTGCCATATTCATTTTTTAGACATGTTGTTTCTTGACTGTCCAACACTATGCTCCATACAACATAGTTGGCCTTACAACCGTTTTATAGAACTTTCCTTTTAATCTAAGTGGTATTTGCCTATCACATAAAGTCCAAATGCACCTTCTCCATTTTGTACATCCAGCTCTAATTCTTTGGGCGACATCCTCCTCAATCTCTCCCTTGTTATGAATTATTGACCCATAGAATTGGAAATGTGTCATGGAAATATTAGGAAATTTATGAACATGTTAAACCATGTTTATAAAAAGACATTATATATTAATATATATGATGAAAATTAGGGCTGTTATTAAGAATGCCCAACCCGACCAAACCGACCAACCCGGACCGACCCAACCCGAGTCGGCCGGGTTTTCATTCGTACTGGTCGGTTTCGGGTTGGGCACATACAAAAAMCGATATCTCGGGTCGGTTTCGGTTTTGACATAAGAAAACCGAAACCGACCCGACCCGAACCGAACTAGTCTTTCTTCTACTAGTTTGGTAGTTCCTACTTCCTAGTTTGAGTAGTTTCCTAATTCCTACTAGTCTTCTAGACTTCTACTAGAAATAGAAGGCCCATTAGGCAATTACAATTAGAATTCAATTAATTAGGTGTCCTTTTTTAGTTTTTTACCTAGATTAGGCAATTACAATTAGAATTCAATTAATTAGGTGTCCTTTTTTAGTTTTTTACCTAGATTAGGCAATTACAATTAGAATTCCTACTAGAACTAGAAGGCCCATTAGGCAATTACAATTAGAATTCCTAGTTTCCTACTAGTCTTCTAATTCCACTTTTGTCTTCTCTTAAAATCTTATATTCTCTAACTTAACTTGGTTGGTCCGCCCCCCTCAACTCAAGTCCTCAACTAATTCAGAGTTTATTCGGTTTTGTACAGGAGCAAAACCGAAACTGACCCAAACCGACCCAACCCGACTCAAACCGACCAGGTCGGTTTGGCCTATCAGTGGGTTGGTTTCGGTTCCCACCTCTGGTAACCCGACTAGGTCGGGTCGGTTGGGAAAATCCCATGAAACCGACCCAACCCGACCCGTGAACACCCCTAATGAAAATAGTTGAAAAATACTTATATTTTTTGCTTTTCTTTAATATAAACTTTTATATTTTTTCTTTTAATAATTTATTAAAATTTTCATAATTCAAATTGGATCGGATCAGATTTTGGTACCCGACATCCTTAATGGATTTGGATTCAAATCACCATTTGTTAGATCAGATCGGATCGAATCTCAGATATGTGATATCAGATCGGATTCGGATATACCCTGATTCCAATCCAATCCGATCCGTTTACATCCCTAGGGGTAGGAGGAATCTTTCCTATTATGGTGGTGTCATTTTTTCAGCACCCCTTGATGATGAACTGATGCTATTAGTGTTTGCTCAATTTCTTGCACCATTATCTTAAGGTGGGTAATGCAACAGTGAATCAGATTTATCCAAGGTTTGGAGGATTGAGATGTATTATAAATTGTCTGTACCTATTTATTTATTTATTATGATAGCTCTATGGCTTGCACTCTTGGGGATGGGCTCTTAATCCAACCCTTCTTTGAGTTGCCCTTCAAGAAAGAAAAGCAATTAAATTTGCAAAGAGGTGGTGCATCTTTTCTGAATAAACAGTCCTCTGATCAGAATAACCATGTTATTTTCAGCTTTGTATGCTAGTTGCTTAGCTGGGAATCTGACTGAGCAACTGTGGAACTTTGCCTGGCCTGCTGCAGTTGCATTGATACATCCAAACCTTTTACCTGTTGCTGTGGTTGGTTTCTTCACAAAGGTACAAAATGGATCCATTGACATTTCTTGTAAAGATTGAATAAATGTATTATCTCATAAAGCATATGGAAAGACACATTATGTCACTCAGTCATTGTGGCATATGCTAAACCCCCTATTGGTTTTGGGGCCTACAGGGACTTCGCTATTCCTCCATTCCCAAGCTCCAAATTAGGACATGAAGTTATGAATGCATTTTATGTCCTTTTGTTCATAAGGCTGAGGAGAGGCTGTTGCTTGGTGCAATTATAAAATCTTGGGCTGACAAGAATGGGAATGTGGGTTCAAGGTTGAGACTTGAGAATGGTTGCTTCATGCAAGAAAGTGTGGAAGGTTAGGTCTGTGTCCAGTCTACCCTTCCAAAGATCCTGGATAGCCAGGAACAACATTGGGTAATGGCCCATTGTGGCCCTTAAGGCCAAGAAAAACTGAATAATGTTAGGTCTAAAAGAGTCTCTAACAGGTTTTCTGGGCTCTGGTAAACAGCTTGCAATATTTGTTGGAGGGCCTTTAATTGGCAATCTTATGGATCATTTTCCTAGAGTACCTGCATTTACCTTTTTGAGTTCTATTCAGGTAATTCTTCCACTTTAATTGTCTTTACCTTTAGTATTTCAAATGCTTTTTATGTTATTGTTGTTTCTCATAGACAGGTGCTTTATTACCTGCTTTGTGTCAGGCAGCTGCTCAATTGTTATCTGTCGCAATGATAATCCGTGCTCACACCATTCATACTAGCTTTGCACCATCTATGCATATCCAACCTTGGTTCATAGTACTAGTATTAGCTGGAGCTGCTGAGAGGCTTTCTGGCTTGGCATTGGGGGTTGCCATGGAGAGAGATTGGGTTGTTCAGGTAGTGCAATTTCATGTTATGCTGTCTCTTCAATATATATAGTTAGTCTGCTTTTCATATCTTCTTATTTGTTTTTCTTTCATCTATTGGATTGTGTTTGTATATGCAGTTAGCAGGGAGCAATAGGCCTATTGCACTTGCACAAGCAAATGCCATTCTCAGTCGAATTGATCTCCTCTGTGAGGTGTTTACTACTTTTCTTTGGTCATTTGCTTTTTTTTTTTATATATATTTGTATGTATGTGTGTATGTATAAATACGTGTGTATTCTGCATATACTTCTTGTATGGTATGTTGTATTCTATTTTCTTTTCTACTATGAAGACCCAAGACAGATGAAACTTGTTTCAAACCATCATAATAGATTTGTGACTGTTTCATGGCCACAGATAGCTGGTGCATCACTCTTTGGTTTTCTTCTTTCCAAGTATGATCCTGTTACTTGCTTGAAGCTTGCTGCTGGCCTGATGATATGTGCATTGCCTATCCAGGTAATTAAGTTTGTGCTTTATTTATTCTGGTCGACCTGATTAAAATTTAATTTTGTTGATTGCTTTCTGGCTTATGTTCCATGTTTCAGATCCTTCTCACATGGTTAACCAACAAACTATCTACTGGAGTTCTTGATCGCTGTAAATGTCAACAGACTTTTGGGAAGGCAGATGCAGGGAATTTAGGTATACTTTAGCTGTATTCATCTATTTTAGAAGCAGGACTTCTGCTGATACTACATTTCTAATATGAACTCTAATGCTACCCAGTTGAAATAGGTGTGGATGCCATCAAGAATGGATGGACAGAATACAAGCAGCAACCTGTTCTTCCTGCAAGCCTGGCCTATGTGCTCCTATACTTTAATATTGTTCTTACACCAGGTGGCTTAATGACGGCATTCTTAACACAGCGTGGTATTTCTCTAACTTGTTTCTATTCTGTATTTCTGAAGATGGATTGCTTCAATGCAGTCAAAACTTAAATCTGGGCCTCAGTCAACAAGGAACATGGGAAGTCCCTTCCCATACTCTGAGGTGTGCCCATGTTGCAAATCTAAGTTCTTTGGTCTTCACTGTTGGGCAGTTTTTTGCCCTCTCGTTTTCCTGTTCTTAATTATCCTTAGGTGAGTGAACACAAATATTTTTTTCCTCCAAAATTGAGATGATGTTGAATTCCTCCATCTGTTATCTGTATGTTTCTTGGCTATTCCCATTCCCAATGGCCAATGTCCTCCAGACAGTACAAAATATTGTTGTATGTATGGTGGTGGGTCCCTAGCCGGTTGATGTGTGCTATACATGCACTGGGGATAGGAGGGGAGGGATTCTTCCACCACACCGATGTGACTGCCTGTTTTGTGAAATTCTGATCCCTGCTAATCAGGATATTTGGAAATTCTCTCTAAGCCTTCTTTCTTCTCACATTTTCTTTGTTTGTTTCTTCTTGCTTCAATTATGGATTCCATCTTTATATTCAATTTATGCTGTTGGGGTTAACAGGTTTAAACCCATCCATCGTTGGGGGGTTCAGTGGCTTATGTGCTTTCATTGGGGTTGCTGCAACCTTCATATCTGCAAACCTTGTCAGACGGCTTGGCATTCTAAAGGTTTTTTTCCCATTTAAAATTGTTCTTATTCTTATCCAGATTCTGTATTAATTCTGTCTCTAAGATGTGGGTTCATTATACTAGGCTGGAGCAGCTGGATTGATATTCCAGGCTTCACTTCTCACTTTGGCTGTTGCCGTGTATTGGAGTGATTCTCTTTCTCGGCAGTCCTCCCTCCTTTTCTTTCTCAGTTTGATTGTAAGCATGTCTTTAACCTTCTTGTTTCTACTAACACTTATTTTTTGAACCCATCAAAGCACCAGTTTGTAACTGTCCAGTTTTTAACCATATTTTTGGATGCCCTTTTCTTTCATGCCCACCCTTTTTCTTATATTTGCAGGTATTATCAAGGTTGGGCCACATGTTATATGAAGTTATAGGAGCCCAGATCCTTCAAACTGGGATCCCAGCTTCTAAGGCGAATTTGATTGGAACAACAGAAGTCTCGGTGGCGAGTCTTGCAGAACTTGTTATGCTAGGAGTTGCAATAATTGCGAATGATGCTTCTCATTTTGGTTTTCTAGCCATGCTCTCCCTCTCTGCTGTAGTTGGAGCAGCTTGGATGTTCTGCCAATGGTTGGCCAATCCCACAGATGAACATAGAAGGCTTTTCTCCTTTGACTCGCAATTTTGATGTTGAATGTGAGTATTGTTTACTTGCTTTGTGTTTCATTTTTGAAGCTTCCTTCCCGTCTTATTTCCATGCTTTCATTGACCATGAATATCACTCTTAAGTTTATATACTTCTCCCCTGTTAGGGGAGATTATTTTCAGCCTGGCCGGGCCTGGGCCCAATTCTTTTGGTCTGACATGCAATTGTTATATAATTTAAATATATACATATAGTTATCTGTCATTTTATTTTATATTTATTTTTTTATATATAAATATTATAATTACGCAATACATTTCATATAATATTTTATATTACATAAAGTATAGCATAACTTTATACATGTATTATTTGTTATCTATTATATTTATTTATTGTTTTATGATATAATTTAATATTTCATATTTAAAATTGCAGGCCCAGCCGACCCATGCTCATCCCTACTCCCCAGTTCACCCCCTCCAAATTTGTCAACTTGGGTGACGGCGCTAGTCAGTTGACCTTGTTATGGAGCCAAAATATGGATGATTGTGTTTGTGACCAATAAAATTCACAAATGGGTGATTGGGTGAATGTTCATTTGGGCAGGTATACTGTGAATAGTTTCATTCAGCTAGCTACCCCGTCCAAAGTTCAAACCAGTTGGAAAATATGCATCAAATAATATGTATCTAGGCTGTGAGACCTATACCGACGTTTGCCTGGTAAAATTTAAATCATATTGCACATGTAGAAAAAGTGTCACCATGATAAATTTCCTTTGGTGCTTAGTATCTAATTCAATTTATTGCCCTTTCTGCTGTCAACAGAAACTGTTCAGCATCCTCTCAGGGCTTGCGCAAGACTGCCTGCTACCTATTCAATTTGTATACCTGGAACTGACGTAGCTTCTGACAACATACATGTAATTATTCATAGATAATTCTGAGCCAAGGATTTGCTGCATTGGCGGTTGTAAAGCTCCTTGCTGCAGGTTATTATAAAATTACAGCGTTGATCCTGTACGGGAACGGCTGTATATATCATCCTGCCAGTGGGAATTTTTTTTTTGATTGGCAGAATTAGTTTGATATACACTGCTGCGGGGGAGCCGGACCCTTGTTCGCAGTATAATTCATTTGTTCACCCATAATGCTTTGATGCAACATTTTTTCGCGAATGATTAAGCTGATTTTCTTGTTTCAAAACTGACAGTTGGGAGTGACAAAATGTTGTGCCTCTTGCTTGTATACGTTCCAAGTTCAAAGTATTGAAAATGCAAGTGTATCGGAAAAGTAATTTTAAGAGACGTATCAAGATACGTTTGAAAACGTTTACATATGGATGAAAAATCAAGATATGCATGGATACATAAGAAAATTCAAAAAATCTTTAAAAAATATGAACAATAATAAAAACGAGTTTTATGTGATTATAATTAATTTATTTAAACATAAAAAATCATTCTTTAATGATTTATATGAAGTATTGGGATATAATTAGTAACCATTGAAAAATAATAGAAGAATTACAATGTATGTGTATACATACTAATATTTCTTAGTTAATATTTTTTTGAAGTCATTTATTAGTTAATTGTTTATTATATATAGATTTAGATGATATTTATTATATATACAAGTTAAGTATTCCTTAATTTTTAATAAATAAATTTAACTTGTATCCATCTTATTATTATATAAATATTAATAATCAAATTTATAGCATTTGTTGGGAAACATCCACCAAGGCAAGAAAGATTCTTTTAAGTATAAAAAAACATGTTATTTTAATAGATAATTGAGGTTGGCATAATGGTTAATTAATTAGTGTTGCAAGCAAATGACTTGAGGTTCAAAACCTCTTACCTTTGGTTTGTGACTTTTAACAAGTTATTTGATTTAACATTAAATGCTGTAATTAAAGGTAACTTAAATGAACATTTAATTAAATTATATTAGCATTTAGTGACATCTCAGACTTAAGACTTAATTAAAATTGATATTAATGAGAGAGAGAAGATATAATTTAAATTTAAAAAGGAGAGGAAAATTAAATTCAGCTGATACAAAATGCATATCGGCACGTTTTGAATTGTATCGGCCGATACATACTCGAAACGAACCGATACATTGCTGATACGGACCTGTATCGGTTCGATACGGACGAAAAAATACGAAACCATTTAATTAGACATGTTCCGTGTATCGGAACTCTTCTGAAATGATACGTATCGGCCTATACGTTACGAAATTTAAAACTTTGTATACGCTAACTGGGTTGTCAGTTGTCAGGTTCATTCTTTAACTGAAACAACACCATGCTCTTAGGCTGTCTAATTGCAGATGTTGGAGATGAGGTTTTGGGTAGACTGGCCTTAAATTCCAGAATAAAATGGATTCCTTCAAACCAAACATAGCCTAAAGGTGTAGGGTGTAGACGGCTTTGCTGAGCAAGAGTTCCAACCAAACCGAACTGAAACGGAAATCAATTAAAACAAAAAAAAAAACAAAAATTGAACCAAACTGATACCCAAATTAATCGAATTTTTCAATTTATCATCTGAACTTGAACACCCCTAGCAACTTAGCAAGAGTTGCCTATTCCAATCATAGCACCCACCAATGGGTGCTTATATGGGTTGGCATTAGTTTGCTTTGGTAGAATCAAATTCGTCTGCCGTGTTGCGAGTTTTTTTTCCGGCGACCCTGATTTTGTGATATGTAGAATTTTAGCAAGGCATATGATCGAACCATCCCCGGTTTGTGATGAGATAGAACTTGGAGAGAGGTGGATTGAGTATTGAAATCCCTCTTTAGATATGGAAATTTCCTCATTCTTTTAACATATTTCTCTACAGCTTATGGCCCAACCGACCCTCAAACAAGAATGACCTTTCAGGGGTATGCTAAACCTCTACCACAACAGGGCCGTCAGAAGAACCCTCTCACGACCTTGCAATGGTGACTATAGCTCGTGGCAAATATTGAGGGCATTAGAGCAATGTTATGACACAACTACCTGACTTGAGCTGCAGCTTGTAATCGAAGCAACAAAACTGAAAGTCACTTGAATAAAAAGAGCCCAGCTTTTTGCTCTTGTAGATGTTGACAACTACATCTTCTATAGTGCAATGCTCGAGAACAATGGTTAGCATTAGTGTATATGTTCTCTCAGCCATAGGACCGATGATGGTTGAAATAAATAAAAACTTCCTCTGGGATTTAAAAGCACCTTCAATAAGTTCTCTTTCTCACGACTGGTTTTCTTACTTCTTTTTTTGCAGTAGATCCTGAAGAAGCAATTCCTATCGTCAATTGGTATAAATCCTTCAACCTGTAGAAATGGATAAAACAAGTTCATAAACATCCAAGACATGCCAAACAAAAATTCGGAACAAAGTAAAAGACTTCTTTTTATATACTTGTATGTTCATCTACTTTTTTGCATTCCCATTACCTTGGCATACCAATAAAAAGACCGATGACAGAGACACCAACAATGAGAGGAAAAACTGGTGCTGGCGTTAATTCCTATACAACATTACGCACAAATTTTTAGCAACTTGATCCAATGCCAATTGATTACCCAAGATGCATTATTTAGAATACCACATCAATATACAAAGTCCACATAATTCATTTTGAAATGTACCAAGCATTTCAGCCACCCAACCAACCTAGTTAAAAGAGACGACAGGATCTGCTGCCAATACTGGTGTGTGGACCAGGCTACATGACCAGATTATGAGTGAGCACGCCAATGTTCCATACACATGGGGTCCACATTCACACACTTGCATTTGCAACAGATCCCTTCTAGTTAAAAGACACCTTAGCCTATAAAAAGTTGTCACAGGCACTGAACTACCATTGCTCATTTTATGGTGGGATCAACAAATTTCAAATCGAGAACAAGTAATCAGAACGACAGAACCTCTGTTCACCATGCCCTGGCTCAATGCCATGGTTTGCAAGTGCATGTTTTGTTATGAAAAGACGCCATTAGTATTTAATGTAGCATGTACCTGTTTGTGATGATCCTCCTCAACTTTGTATCTGAGAGGGCCAATGTGAACTTGTGCTTGCTTTTCCAAGTCAACCTCAATAATTTCTGATTGAAATCTGTGGGTACTTGATGGAAGGCTGGAACGCAACTGCACAAGATGCTTACCCTTGGGCAGATCCCTTATATGAAAAAAGTGGGAAAGTGGCAATGGAAAAACTGACTCAATGTTAGATGGGTTACTTGCTGACTTCACTTCAACCAAGAGATGTGTTTCTAACTCCCTAATGCCAACTCCCTCTACATGGCCAGTTAAAATGGTCATTTCCAACTGTTCAAATACTACAAAATCCAGACCCTTGATATCTTCAGAGCCAACCTACCAAAAGGAAGAGAACATTATATGCATGCAGAAGTGAGTATAAAGAAGAAATATTACAAGCAGCTGATAATAGGTGATGCTTAAACACAGATTTTATAGACATTAGGAAATAACAGAATAAGAAAAAATGAGAAACCACAGATAAACCAGAACCACCAGAGTTCAGACTGAAGTGTTTGGGAGTAAAAATGCTGCAGGGGAATCCTAGTTATTTCTACATCCATCAGAGGATATTATGGTCATTGAACATGTGGTAATGGAAGACAATTTGACAATCACAAAGCTAAACTGTAATGATGAAAAATCTTTCACCTGATGCATGGGACCAATCAGGATGTTCAAGTAGTATTCTCTGCCAAGGCTTCAGAAGCAGAATGAAGCCATGAACTTCAAACATCATACCAAATTCAACAGTCAACTTAGCCACACAATCAAACCAGAAAGTGGGACTCTTATTGTATATTAGGTGAAATGTTTAAATTGTAACGGTGTACCAAAATGATGGTGTTCAACTCTTGAACTTCAATGCATTTTACCATGCCTCCCCTCTAATAGTCATAAAATGTGGACACTCTTTATTTAGGAAAAATCTCTAAGATACCAGAAAAAGAATAGTTTTCTAAAATGGGAAATTTGGTTATTATCAGTTTGGGGCAATCATGAGCTGGGCTTAGCATCTATGATAAGGGCTATAGCCTGGGCCTGGGTTTGACCTTTGGGTCTATGACATTAAATAATATGGTAGCCTAACTTGCACAGCTGTTTATCATTAAATAGATGAATGAAAAGCTTTCATTTTCATAATTCATGAATGTGGGACCTTCARCCAAAAGGCTAACCTAACATTCAAGGTCCCACACATCAATGAATTAAGAAAATGGATGCATTGCGTCCATCTATTTAACAGTAGCTAATTGAGGAAAATAAGCCATGAACTTGCACATGAGTTTACTCATGAGCTGGGCTTAGCATCTATGATAAGGGCTATAGCCTGGGCCTGGGTTTGACCTTTGGGTCTATGACATTAAATAATATGGTAGCCTAACTTGCACAGCTGTTTATCATTAAATAGATGAATGAAAAGCTTTCATTTTCATAATTCATGAATGTGGGACCTTCAACCAAAAGGCTAACCTAACATTCAAGGTCCCACACATCAATGAATTAAGAAAATGGATGCATTGCGTCCATCTATTTAACAGTAGCTAATTGAGGAAAATAAGCCATGAACTTGCACATGAGTTTACTCATTGACCCGTGCCAACTTGTGAATCTTTATCAAACATTGGGTGTCCATGCTACACTTATTTTTATATAAATTTATGTTTTACTTTATAAAATATAAACATTATATATAATACAAGTTATAAGAGTCGTATAATAATATTTATATAAATTATTTAGTAAATATATGATATAATATAATATATAAAAAATATGTAACATATAATCTGGGCTGGGCTGGAAATGATCGCCCCTGACACTTAGACTTGGTGAAGACAAAACCATTTAGGATTTAAGCCACTGGATTACATAATGGCCAGTCGGATTATCCAATTCAACTATTTGCTAAAATAAAATATATATAAATTATTAAAATAGCAAGATAATAAATGCTTTCTTATTATCCTTTACAGCTAGTTTACATCTAATGTATCTGCTCAGACCAAATAAGCATTTAAAAACAGTCTACCTGTCTTCTCCAATCCTATGTTAATCAGGTTTGACTGCTGTTTAACTCAAATTGAACATCGATGCAATGAAATCGGTTTAATCATTAGAATAATTAAAAAATGTTAAAAAAGATTATAAAGAAAAAGAAAATATATCTCAAGAGATGTAAAGAGTAAGATTCACTGCAACTCACCTTAACAACTATACTATTTGTCCATGAGAACTAACACTATAACATCTTGAGAATTAACACTATACTTGTCCATGAGAAGAAGATTCACTGCAACTCACCTTGACAACAACAGATTCTGGTGAGACACGTTCTATTCTTGGGCTTCCAAGCTCATCCTTTTCCACTACTTTGACTATATAGGTTGTATCAGGAAGAAGTCCTCTCAGACGGTAGCTTCCGGAGGAATCTGTTGTTGTCACCTCATAATATCCTTCCGATTCTGATCGAGCCTCGACAGAAACACCTTCTTTTGGCTGGCCAGATAGTAATGTGACAGTACCCATAGCACTGTATGAAGGAAAACCATTTTAGGGTTTGATAATAAAAGGCCATTACCCAATGTTGGTCCCAGATATCTAGGGTCTTGGGAGGGGTTGTGAACATTTGCATAAATACTACTTGAAAGTAAACACTTATGTACATTCATTTTTGAAATAGTTTTCAAGGCGCCAAGGCGAGGCTAGGTGACCGGGGGGCGCCTTGTCGCCCAGTTGCCTAGGCGGGTGCCTAGGTGATCGATTTTTTTTTTATGTTAAAACATAGATCCTAGGGTAGTTCCCTAGGTACCATAACCATATTTCTTTAATAATTGTTCATGATTTTCATAATAAAAGTATAGAAAAATCAACATATTCATGAGAAGAAAAGGAAGAAGGAAAATAAAATTCAAAAAATATAGGGGCTGAACCCTCATTTTTGTTATAGGAAAAGAAGAAAATAAAATATATTGGTAGTAGTAGTAGTAGAAGAAGAAGAAGAAGGATATATGGAAGAGGAAAATGTGCTGATTAGATAAAATTTTAAGTTCTTCCTTACTTATTGGTTCAGGTTTTTAAGTCTTTGAGGGTTCAATACAACATTTAGCAATGTTTGTGTTGATTAAACCCTAATAAATAAGAAAATAGTAAAAAGAAATTAGTATATAAACACACAAAATGATTATTTTAGTTTAATAATGTCTATTTTATAATTATAATCTCAAAAAAGAATGAATAAAAAAATATTTTATAGTAGGAAGTAGAAAACTGCTTGGCGATTAGTCGAGGCGAGCCTCAAAGGGCGCCTTGTCGCCTAGGCGTCACCTTGACAACTAAATTATATGTTGTTCATGCCCAGCCATGATAGATGTAAGGAATATTAAGCCACAAGCTACAAAATGGAATTTAGTAATAAGGGAACGGAGATAGAGAATGTAGAGCTGGTTAATAATAAAGAGGATATAGAATAAAGATATGGATGATTTTCTTAGTTTTTGAAAGAGCTTAATGCTTCAAAAAACATAACAGAGCTGGAATATTGATACAGTCTGAACAATGTAAAACCATAGATATGAAAGAATAAGTAGAAGGGTGAAAGAAATGCACAAACCTGTAAGCAACGCGGGTGGCCTGGAAAACTACATTTTTAGACTCACCAGAACCAAGTTCTATTGCCTGTGCTGGAGGCAAGAAGGAATATTCCTGTGGATCAAGGACAGATTAATGTTAAAATTGTGCATAAGACATTCTTTCTGTTTAACAATTAGCATTAATAACAGAAACAACTCTGAGCTTGTTGAATTCTATTCCTAGAAAGCATATGGCAGTAGCATTGGAAATCCAGGGGGCCATCAGGGGTGGGAGGAATCTTTAGAGATGAAGTTGCAATATTCTCGGGCCCAATAGGAGTCGGAGATTCAACAAATCTTAACTTATGATGGTTATTTAAGGGCTGCAGAAAGCCAATGGAATGAATTTGAGCAACCTAATCACTAAAGGTGGCTCAAATGTGGTGAGTGGATGGCTGCTGGATTTTGAGAGAGCATCATGCTCCTACAGAAATGAACCCAAGAAGCTCAGATGGCTGACTAGGAACATAAAGTGAAAATTCAATGGGTACAAGGGTCAGCAAACAGTTTGGAGTAACTAGAAATTTTTTTTTTTTTTGGGTTCAATTGTAACAGAAACTTCATGGGGAGAGTAGTATCTATGCTCTCAAATGGCGTAAGGGGCCCATAATAACTGTCAATAATAGTGCTACAGGCCTGTAAATTTAACTTCAAATGGTCAAAAAAATTTCTCTATGAATTCTACTGCCATTATAACATACATGATCCTTTTATCTTGGTATTGTCTTAATATTGGTTTACTAATACTTAAATATTTTCTCCATGAATTGAAACAAAAATTAGAAATACCATATTCAATAATAAATTATTTCCTTTGAAGTAAAATCAGTATACTAATCAATTGTTCAATGAATAGGTAAGTTGACTATGTAAGACAAAGCTAACAAAAATGCATAGTTTAATGAGTACCTTCAGCAGTGGACGCAAGTAGAAACTTCCAGGGAACAAGTTATCAAAGAGGAAAAATCCACCAGCCCCAGTAACTGAATTGTTCCTATAACCATCCTCTCCACTCAATGATAGTAGAACGGAAGGAAATTGTCCTTTAGCTTCCTCATCCGAATATATATGCACTGAAATTTGACTAAGCTTCTGACAAGAGAAGGAATTAGGTCCAACTGCTTTCAAATGATAACCAGGCTGCACAACATAAGATCAATATCAGGAGCATAATTATTTGCAAGCAAAATAAAATGTATCAACCCTGTTCAGGACATTATATTTAGGGTGGGTAAAGACACACACATGGAGTAAGATATCAGAGTTTCAACTTGATAGATTAATGAAATGTGCTGACCCTGTTCAAGTGCAACCTAGATTGCTCCATACATGACACTAGTTGAGTCAACTAGAAAGAATCCCAGCAACTGCAGACTGGTATGACTGCCAACCAGCTATTTGGCATTCATCCATATTACAAAAAGGCATCAATTTAATAAAATCTATACTACATTCGAAAATGCAGTTGTCCACGTCAGATTCCTCATATTGTTCCCAACCCTTTCAGAATTGTGTTTTTGGGGTTTTTAAAATATTAATTAAATATGAGGCTATTTAAGCTCACCCACAACCAATTCAGTTAAGAAACTGAATGTAGCATGGACATCTTTTTAACACCAGCTCGTTCATTGTATGGGTCTCTTCTAGCATTAAATATAATCTGGTTAAAACTGTCATATTTAAATTAAATAGAAATAATTTATTTAGTACAATTAAATTAGTTGTCTGAAAATCCCCAGTTTAGATATGATTGAAAGAGCAGAGGAAGAATAAAAGGTTACAAGAGAAAGAAAAATATGAAACATGAAAAATTAGAATTATCTTTATTTACCAAAAGAAAACTTTGTTACTTTCTTATCTAAACTTGACCATGTTATATTTAACAAAGACAGGAAAAATATATCGTCTCCATATTACAAAGAGGAAAGCAAACTAGAGGATGACATGTTCAATTCTGCATGTACTAAGAGATTTTCATCATTATGGAACATAATCAACTTCACAGACAAAAGTAACACCATACATATAACTATTACAACTAAAAGCATTAAAAATAACTTGCTTATAAATAATCTGAGGAAATAAGAAACAGAGGTATCTTCAGTTCCTCGCAAGGCTGGTGAGCTTCTATTACTAATAACAAGGTTTAAATGCACCCAATAAGGGAAATTGATGAATAAAGCAGAGTATCATATTTCATGGACAATGATGCATCATATGCACAGTACAGAAAATGGTTCCAAAAGTTTCCAAACCTTTGAAGCTTCAAGGCTGTAACTTGTATCATCGTACAAAGGGCCACCAATAAAGAAACCATCTGCTCCTGTAGCAGTTTCCAGTGCTAATTCACCTTTCTGCAATGGGGCATTGCTACTCACTCCAGCAGCCATAATTCTGATACTGACACCAGAAAGGGGTGGGGAAACTGATCCTTCAATATACAAGCCCAAACGACCCAAAAATGGAGGAATAGTAGGTTGGCAACCATCATTAGTCACTGAGACCTATCAAAGATATTCAAGAGATGTTGAAAACCATTCTATTAGACAATATTAAAATATACTCATGGTGTGAAAAATATCAAAGCTTACAGGGTGGTTTCTGGGATAAAATAATATCCTCTTTTCTTCATCATTCCTGCAAAATCACTGCCCTAATTAGTGCAATAATAAGACCAATGACTGAGCGACAAAGGTTTAGCCTGATTTCCAGGCAAACAAAATACAATGTCAACAACCAGAACCAAGGTGTTTAATTGTACCAACACTTGAAACATTATAAGGGGCCTAGCAGATCACAATGTTAGAAACTGGAATACAATAGGAAGTAACTACAAAGTTCCATTTTCTAAACAGGAAAATTCATGAATTTTCAACAAAGAACAATAAACTGCTTTTTCCTGCTATTCTGCAATGCCAAAGAGAATTAACTTTCCTCTATAATTATACCTTCAGCAAGTAACTGGTTTCTATCATACAAGAAAACCAAATGTACAAAGCGCATAGCCCTATTAAAGGCCTAATCTTTAAAAAGAGAATGGCATACGCTATAAAAATGAACATATCCACCATGTTTAGCAAATACCATCAACCATTTCATTAGCTTATCTTGATACATTTTAGAATTAGTTTTTTATTATTATTATTTTTTTTTTTTTATGTAGGCAACTGAGCCCAAATTTGGAAAATGATTGCCTTCACAACAATTGACATTCTTATGATTGTTCAGTATTCCCGCCATTGACATTCTTATGGTTGCCTCCACAACAATAGAGGGAAAGGAGAAATCTGTGAAACAGAGGCCATTCAGGAGGCCAGAAACTTCTGAAAACTAGAATCACCAATGCCAATCAGATCCAAATTACACACCCAAAGCAATACTTGAAAGCACCTCCAAACCTGGACGAGGCTGGAATGGAGTGCACATCAAAATTCAATTTCATTAGAATCATCATCATCATCATCATCTAAGCCTTGTCCCAACTATATGGGGTTGGCTACATGAATCCTGTTTGTAGAGAGACTGGACCAAATGGGCCCTAGTATCTTTTTATTTATTACCTTCTATTATATGTACAGTTTATGTTAATGGGCCTTACCCATGTGGGTTTGTTAACCTTTTTTCATTCCTTATGTTGTTTTCAGTGTTTTAAAACGTGGACGCATGATGTGAGGCGTTCCACTACCTAGAGGCGTGAGGCGTAATTCAAAACGCAAGAGGCATAAGCCTCCCGAACACAAGGAGGCTTCCTTAAGAGGAGGGGGGTTATGAGGAGGATGAAAAGGAAGGGGGGATCTCATTTTTTCTTTATTTTTAATAAAAATCTTTTATATTAAAAAGAATAAAGATGCATAA